AAGGTACATAGAGGTTGGTTCAATTAGGCGTCGTGGATTCGCTAGGTAATTGAGAGTATACCTGTGTAATTCCTTTATATCTTCTTAGTGGATTGTTTTGTGGTTGTTGCCCGTGGTTTTTTTATCACAATTGGAGGTGCTCCAATTGTGGTTTTTTCACGTAAAATCGTTGTGTCGATTTGTCTTGATTGTTTGATTGGGATTGTTGTTTACTGCTTAAAATTGATACATAATCACAAATCAACATCTAGGAGATTTCTAGATTTTTCACAAATTTTTTTGAAAAAGATTATATAATCAAACTAATATAGAAGTGGATGTAGCACTTTGTATATTTTTCATTTCTCTTAACTTAAATTCAACTAGAAGACATTGAATCCTAATAGAATTAAGCACTTCATTTTGTTGAGGGTGCTAATTGAAGCTCCAGAGGTGCTTTCGAAAGATAATCATAATTAATACTTAGAATCAACTTTAACATGGATAAAACTCCTAAGATTTAATTATTTAATTGTACTCTTTATGGTGTGAATTCAGATTTAGATCCAACAGAACTGGAAGTAAAGTCTAACAAAACTAGAGATGTAAATAAGAATCACCTCATTAGATATGTACCTACACATATATCTTTGTTTTTTGGGATGACCTTACCTAAACAAACTAGAAACGATAATGCACTAGAAATAGAAACCACAGAATTATGGAAACAATCATATGGTCATCTGACTGTACATAAGTGTACATATAAAGCCCAAGAGTGTCTAGTTATTACAACCAAAGTATTATCATTCAAATGGAGTTGTATATTATTTATCAAAAAATAAAATAAAATAAATGGAGTTGTATAAAAAGGCTATACCTCCATGTGTTGTAATAGTGATTTCCATTTAAATTCCATCATCACGAAAGGTTTCAAGTCCAATCTTTTCTTGTTTACAATTGTTTCTTGACAATTATTTTCATAATTTTCTCATTTTGTGAGAAAGATGTCATGAACCTCTTAGATTTGAAAATAGTGACTATTTACTTGTATGAAGTAGGATTTCCCTTGTTAAATTTCATTACTTACACCTTAGGTTGGACGTCCAACAACTTTAAACATTGAAGTTCATTCATGCTTATCCATTCCTAACATTCATTTATGCTGAATGTACTCTATGTCGTTCTCCATATTTTCTAGTCTTTAAGCAGAGTAAGTAGACTACATAACTGCTTGTAAACCCATTTTTTCCGACAAACTTCGTGAGGATTTATTTTTCACGTGATTTACTTTGACAGATTTGGGACTTCAGCAACCTTGGTTGGAAGGAGAGGAGTATCTATCAATTGTTGATGAATTTATGGAGGCAATTCACACTCGATGGCCCAAGGCTATTGTGCAGGTTTAGTTATTTTAGAAATATGACATCTTGTTTGATGTGTAACCAATATCATACTGATTACTTGATGTTTAGTGAATATTATCAGTTTGAGGATTTTCAAATGAAGTGGGCTTTTGAAAGACTGCAACGGTATCAAAAAAGGTTCTGCATGTTCAATAATGACATACGGGTGAATACTTGGTGTTGTATTCTGCTATTCTCCATGGCAAAGTACTTTAAGATTGTTAAGGGTGACTCTATTGTAATGACATTTTGTCACTGGTCATCATGTCGTATAGGGAACTGCTGGTGTTGCACTAGTAGGACTGCTTGGAACTGTAAGGGCACAAGATCTACCATTGACTGATTTTGTGGACCAAAAGATAGTTGTAGTTGGAGCTGGAAGGTACTGATGAAGTTCAATTGTAATGGCTGTACTCCTGGTTTAAGTGTTACTTCTTTATGCATTAGGGTGGTTGGAAATATCAGCTGTGAGTTGCGTCTTCTTATTCTTTTTCTGTCTTTCAGTGCAGGGCTTGGTGTTTTTAACATGGCTACACAAGGCTGTTTCAAGAATGGCAGAAGCTGGAGCAAATCCTCTGTCTTTCCTACTTGATAAAGATGTGTGGTTCTACAGATATTACTTGCTCTCTAACTTTTTTGTTCTTAATGTCATTTACCGTATTAGCCTTTATTATGTATTACTGGGTATTTATCTTGTAATAAAATGTGTAGAACATATATT